CTTTCCCTGTGAACACCGGGGCCTGCACCACAGCAAGGAGAGGACCCCACCGCATTGGGTCACTTGAGACACAGCAGGCCCTGGTAGAGAAGCACTCTGTGAATGTCAGGCGGAAATGGATGGTTTTAATGAAGTGACTGAGTCAAATCACTCCCTTGCATTTCCCACTCCCACTTCTTCAGAGCGGGTGAGGCAGCGAACCTGATGTCACTGTTTACGTGGTTCCTATGTGAACGCAGTGGCTAAACAAACCGGATTAACGTTGGCCTTTTCCATCCTCAAACTTAGCTACCTGAAAAGGAGCACAGCGTGTGCCGTTGGTTGTATTTCTTTTTAGATTCGTTTCTGAATCTTGTTTCTTTCTAGCAGGATGTAATTCTGGTACAAGAGCTGAGGGGTTGGTGTATTTAGCTATTAAGAGTGAAGCTCAGTGGTGTAAACCAGTCTGTGGGACAGGGTCAGGATGGATTTTGAGGCGAGGTGGGAAAGCAGGTAGAAAAATCACATTTCCCAACACTCAAATGGAGTGGGCTCTGTCAAACACATCACTGATCGTACGGAGAGAAACCACTGTCTTGTACAGCCCTCCTGCACTTGAAGGTGAGATCGGGGTTTTAGCGACTTCCCTGCTGCAGTGTGGCAAACTGCATTGATCGATACCTGACGACTGTGGCTGTTCATCAGGGCTTTTAAAAAAAACCGTACTTTTTTAATACGTTGTATGTGGGAGCGTAAGCCATCAGGTTGTGTGAAATTCAGCTTGCTTCTAGACTATCTGCTCTTAAAAAAAGCAGAAAGAAGTCAGGTGGGTTCATTGATCTCAAAGGCTGTATATTGGACTCATCTGTTTAGTAAATAGCTTTAAATTCTGCCCATCAGAATGATTCGAGCAAACTGCTCCGAGCGTTTCAAGCATGGTGACACTTGGCCAATTGTTGTATTTATGAGCACTCCCAGAAGGCTGGGGCTGACGGTGGCTGCTCCCCACGCCTGGGAGCAACGACGGCGCAAAGACTGAGGTGTGCACGGTTAACGCAGCCATTGCCATTGAAGATGTCTCCGGTCATTGCTCTAGGACTTCTCTGGTTATTTCTCATTAAGGCCGCTTGCAAAGGTTCATTTTCCACCAGTACCATTTCCTGTTTCCAAAGGATCAGCCGTACCGCGTTGTTCCCGAGTTAACTTTACAGGTCTTGTCTGTTTGATGGTACCATTAACATAGTTTGTTGTTTTAATTACACAGCATTGCAATACAGTGCCATTTTGCAATTTCTTTGCATTGTACTTGAAAATTAAGTTGAATTGCAGACTATTTAAAACCGCTTTCCTGCGCTTCCAGTAGCAGTGAGAGCTTACCTTACGTGAAGCCTTTATGTAAAAATATATTTTGTAACAACCTCATAGATCTTTAACAGAACCAAGATTTGTATTAGCTTTGTATAAATGTTTGTGGCTTACAATTTTATATGTTTAACTTTTTATAAACTTTCCAGGGACTACTTTTTATTGTAAATTTTTTTTTTCCCCCCCTTCTCCTCGCTTTAGTTGAAGATTGGCAATAAATTATTTCTAAGGGAGGTCTTCGAAGAAAAAGCATCACTTCCTTTTTATAAAACGGTTAAACGGATTAATAGTTTAAAACCTCTTACATGGCTTGTACATCGCTCTGTACATACTCTCCAAAAGTGTTGCCTTTCAGCTATTAATATTTGCCTTGTGTACAAAACTTACTGACGATGAATAAACATATACAGCCTCACGGTGCTATTGTGACGTTGCTTTATTTCAGATGAACGGTGGCCAGCTGCCTTCTCGGTGCTGTTGGTTGGCCAAGGGCAGCAGTTTCGCCCCTGCCGCGTCTCAAATAAAATGTGTCATGGAGTTAATCTGTGCTCGGAGGGCTCATCCCGGTCCTTGTGCAGCATTTTCAGGAGGGAGAAACTAGGAAAAGGAAATCGCTGACTTGCATTTGACAGCCGGTTTGGTGCTGAGGATTTAAAATATTGATGAATTTCGTGTGTCTTCTGGCGTAAGTGGCAACTCTGTATAAATTATGTATCTCAATATTGCAGAGTTAGATTTTTAATTTATTTTAAAGCTTTCTGAGGGAGGCAGCCCCTGCATCCTCTCCAAACAAGATCACTGCCTATTTTCCAACCGGCTGCAACATGAAGCAATGTTTTGCAGCAAAACATTGATTTCTCCTTGTTGGTTTTTATAGGGCTGGGATGGTTCATTTTCCACAGCAGCCGTCAGATTTGGCTGCCGTGCTGCGGACACCAAATCTCTGCAAAGACCCAGCCCCAGTCACACTTGTTTATAGGGCAGAGCTCAGTCAGTGCTTGTCTTGATAACCCGAACACAAACTCACAATTCTTGGTGGCTGTGAACGCTGCTGTGAATTGGGGACCTGCACACTTTCTGTGTGGTGGGGAGCAGAGTTTGCTGCCTTCACTCACCGAAATTAGGAGTTAAAACCCTGCAGCTGACCTGAAACTTCACCCGGGTGCGTTTTGGTTCCTGGGGGGTTGTTTCTGGGGAGCTGCAGCCTCATCTCTTGAGCACTTCCATGCACTGAAGCAATTGCAGCAAATGAGCACCATTCTCTTGAGGGCTTTCTAAAAAGCTTTGCTTTTTCTTGCACTTTCTTTCCTGAGATGCAGTCAGCGACCTGAGGAGGCAAATTTAACATCTAGAACTGAACAGACCACGGTGGGTTTTCTTCAGCCTAATATTACAATTGCATAAGGGTTCACCTTGGCTTCTCGTAAAGGTCTCATTGACTAAAACTCTCATTAAAAATAGGGGCTTTGGTCCTGCTCAGCAGCAACTCGC